TATATCTATCTATCAATTTCCATATTTCCAGAAAAAAAGTTTTGTACAAGTCATACCTCGATACATATAATATACACACACATTTGAACAAAATATATACATATCATCAACCTGCTGTTCGGCTGTTCTAATGTCAAAATTTTGAAACTGATAACGGTTGCATGCGCTAGAAAAATATTTTGTTAAAATTCAGATTTTAAATGTTAACACAACGTCAGGCCCCTGACGGGATTCGAACCCACAACCTTGCGGTTGCGAGTCTGAGAGCCTAACCACTAGGCCACCGATGCCATGAAGATGTTGTTGTCCCGAAAAAGCTTTCCATGGAAACTGTAGGCCTTACTTTCACATCAGAAATTTGTTCATAAACATGATTTTTACGTTAAACAGTTACTTATAAAGGCCCTCATTTCCCTTGTAAAACAAAAGATAATGAAGATGACAATGTACAGTATTGTTTTCTTCACATAGCCCAGTGTCCCCTGTAAAACGCAGTAAATCTATAGTGACAGTTCAGTAAAAAAAACACCCTGTAGAGGAAAAACAGTTCCTTTTAAAAATGTTACTTTACGTTGCAAGGTCCACAAAACTACAGGACTTCAGTATAAAGGAACATGCTTAAGTTTACTCCCACGTCCCAAGAGAAAACAAGTAGCTGTCTTCACCTCTACCGACACCGTTTGGATGATTTAGGAGGCAGGCTGCTTCTACCCAGCCTATCAAGGCGCCAGTTCTGGCAGGGCAGGATATCTCAACACTCAGGATAAATGATAAAGTCAGAGACACGGGAAAAATGGAACTTTCCTACACAGGAGTCGAGGTACAGGAGCTGTGCACATCTTTGGCGTGACAAGAGGGAGAGAAAGACGATAGTTTTTTTTATAGCAAAGAAGAAGCAAACCACACCAGAGCACATGCCGACAAACCACAGAGAGAGTGAGGCAGAGAGAAAGGAGGGAGGGAGGGAGGGAAGGAGGAAGGGAGAGAGGGAGAGGGAGAGAGAGAGAGAGGGAGAG